ATCATGCTTGTTTGAAGAACTATCTAGATGGGATCAAACTGACAACAGCAGTTCAATGGGGCAGACAGGAAGTTTAGAGGACAGGGGGCCAGGACTGGGAGGACAGTCCACGTGCTTTAACTCCATGGCTGGTCTCCCTGGAGAATGATCCTTTGAATGCGCCCCCTAACAGGGAACTCATTCCCTTCCTGAGTGGTCAGGACCATGATATGGGGGAGAGACCACATAGCTAAAACCAGTTATCCTAATTGCCAATTATATTCATGATAAATTTTCCTAATAATTAATTTCCCAAATGATCAGTTAACCAAAGTCGACTCCCAGGTGAGCGTCAAGCACCTGATTTTGAAAATCGGTAGTAATCACAAACGCTGTCAACTAGGCAAAACCATCACCGGTCTGTCAGTGGAACTAGGATGCCAAACAGGTTTATGTGGAACTTTCCGGCTAAAACAGACTAGGAAGAAGGGCCTGGTGATGTAGACCCGAAAATCTGCCCTTGAATCCGCATGGATCACAATAGTCAGGTCTGAGCTTGACGCAGAACTGGGCAATATGTCCTTCCGCAGTGGAGTAGGTCAACGTGCGCCCGGAGCTGACTCAACCACACATGTTCACAAACCACACATCCTCAGAACCTCGCGAGAATTCTGACGGTGAATTCATTCATGGTTTTTCCCGTGTCCAAGGGGGACGCTGAAATACAGAGAAGCTAAGTCCCCTATCCAAGGTCCCACAGCTGAAAAGAGGCAGTTCCTGGACTCTAACACCATAAAAGGGAAGCGTCAGCCTGTCTAGTAAAACAGGTCTGAGGTCAAGTCCCACGGTTTTGGCACTCTAAGTAGTTCTCCCTCAGAGGTCTAAGCTTATTCTTATAGGGACTAAACAACCAACCATGTCAAAATTAAGAAACATTCTGCAAAACAAAATGCCCTGGGTGTTGGAATTTTAGGCTTTAAAAATGCAAATATCAACATAAAGAAGAAAGGGACTCGCGGACTATTATTGTAAACGAAAAGAGATCTAAGGGAATAAAAACTAAATGTAAGCCCCAATTAGGTTTGAGGGTGGGTAGAACCAACTATAAATGACATAATTGGGATAATTAAGCGTTTAGGGATATGGACTATATATTAGATAATATTTTGCATCAAAGTTAAACTTCCTCAGTGTGAACCTTTTCATCAAAGAATCCATACATGAATCCTGATCAAAAAGGGAAGACATGGAATTGAATTGCAAATTTCCAATGGAATCCAGAGTTTCTGGAGTATCAACACTGGATGAAACCCCAAAACAATAACTCTGAGGTAAACTTTAAATCTCAAACCAAAAAATATCCTCTCACGTCATCTTCAAGCCAAATAACAGTCTAATTAATTAATAAGGAATGTCTGCCTGGATTATCATGCTTGTTTGAAGAACTATCTAGATGGGATCAAACTGACAACAGCAGTTCAATGGGG